TTTTAAATTATGCAATGCCCCCGCGACATTTGAGCGCATGATGAACTCTCTCCTTTGAGGCATGAAGTGGACCATCTGCCTCTGCTATCTTGACGACGTTATTGTTTTTTTCGACTACTTTCGACGACCATCTTACCCGTCTGTCCGCAGTGCTTGATGTTTTTCGAGGTGCCAACTTGCAACTGAACTCGTCCAAATGCCGCTTTGGCCAACGCCAAATCTGCGTACTCGGCCATCTTGTTAACCCTGCGGGCGTTCAACCAGACCCTGCGAAAGTCCGAGCAGTTCGCGACTTCCCCGCACCCCGCTCAGCCAAGGACGTCCGAAGTTTTCTGGGACTGTGCTCCTATTTCCGTCGTTTTGTCGAGAAGTTTGCTGAAGTAGCCCGTCCTCTAACCTGCCTCCTCAAAACGGATGTCGCATTCACCTGGGGCCAACAGCAAGCAAACGCCTTCTCGTTGCTCGTTGACATTCTCACCAATCCACCAGTCCTAGCACACTTCGACCCATCTGCCGCCACGGAGCTTCGTACCGACGCCAGTGGCCACGGCATAGGCGCAGTGCTCGCGCAGCGGCAACAAGGCATGCACCGCGTCGTCGCGTATGCAAGCCGACTGTTGTCGCGCTCGGAACAAAATTATTCCATCACAGAACGCGAGTGCTTAGCTCGCGTCTGGGCCATTGCGAAATTCCGACCGTACCTGTATGGCCGACCATTCTCAGTTATTACCGACCACCATGCGCTTTTCTGGCTCTCCTCACTCAAGGACCCTACGGGACGCCTTGGTCGCTGCGCTTACAAGAGTACACTTTTTCCGTATCCTATAAATCCGGACAACTTCACAAGGATGCCGACTGCTTGTCCCGTTACCCAGTCGATCCCCCTGACACGAGGGAAGATGAGCAAGAGGACCTCGTTCTTTCAATTACCGACTTCACCGACATAGCTGCTGAACAACGCCGCGACCCCTCTTTGCGTGCTATTATCAATGGTCTGCACTCTCCCCACCCTAACCACTCCTTACAACTGTTCGTTCTTCACAACGACATCTTGCACCGCTACAACACCCGCCCTGATGGTGCCGAGCTTTTACTCGTTCCTGTGCATCTTCGCTCGGACGTTTTGGCCCAGCTGCATGATGCCCCCTCCGCTGGACACCTAGAGGTGTCACGCACGTATGACCGCATTCGCCGCCGATTCTTATGGCCTGGCCTCTACCGTTCTGTGCAACAGTACGTTGCAGCATGCGACCTCTGCCAGCGCCGCAAGACACCTGCTCTGAGACCTGCTGGTACCCTCCAGCCCATTGAAGTACCAGATGAGCCATTTTTCCGAGTCGGCCTCGATCTTCTAGGACCCTTTCCCGTGTCGGCCACCGGTAATAAGTGGATTGCTATTGCTACCGACTACGCAACGCGGTATGCCGTTACACGCGCCCTCCCCACCAGCTGCGCTACTCATGTAGCAGATTTCCTTCTTCATGACATCATTCTGCGTCATGGTGCTCCTCGTCAGTTGATCACCGACCGCGGCAGCTGTTTTCTATCTAAAGTAGTCGACGAGCTCCTGCGATCCTGCTTTACCCACCACAAGTTCACTACAGCGTACCATTTGCAAACCAACGACCTCACGGAACGCCTCAACCGTACCTTGACGAATATGTTAGCGATGTACGTCTCCAAGGATCACAAAGATTGGGACATCCACTTACCTTTCGTTACCTTCGCATACAACAGTTCAGGTCATGATACAGCTGGATTTTCCCCTTTTTACCTACTGTTCGGTTATGACCCGCCTTTGCCCATGGACACCATGCTCCAATCTGACGCCCCCTCATCGACTGCTTATGCTCGTGATGCCCTGGCCCGAGCTGACATCGCCCGCGAAGTCGCCCGGGATTGTTTATGTGCCTCGCAGCTTAACCAAAAGAGTGCTTACGATCGCCGGCACCGCGACGTACAGTACTCTCCGGGGTCACTCGTCTTGCTGTGGTTACCATCACGTCGTGTTGGTTTCAGCGAAAAACTAATGTCCCATTACGTTGGCCCCTACTGCGTCATACGCAAGGTCACCAGCGTGACCTATGAGATAGCTCCACTCCATACCACGTCAGTACCAGCTTCAGTCCCGACCGATATAGTGCACGTCTCACGGCTTAAACCATACTTCTCACGCCCCGAGAATTGATCGCACCGGGACGGTGCTTCTGCCGCCGGCGGGTAATGTCACGGGCTAAGTAGATGCCTGAGGATGACGACGACGAAGTGCTGAACGGGAACGTGCTCGGACTGCAGCAGCGTCGTACGCATTAGCTCGCCAGTATATTCGTCAGTACGCATTTGCTCACCAGTGTATACTTTATTCCCCGTAACAATATGAACAGTATACTGCCAGGTTGCCCTCGCTGCGACAACCCTCATTGCACTTTGCAACACATGCTGTGGCAATGTCCTGCCCTGCACAAGAGCTCCGGGTCTCCCTCAACCAATGCGCGAAAAGGACTGTTTAGGTACATTCATTTCGAATGAGAGTTTTACCATGAAATGCTTGACATAGGAGCTTTAACTGCAGTTTAATTCAACGCAATGATAGTAATTCCCATCCTAGTTGATTTTTCATATTGGTACAACTGTCATTTTTTCAGCAATGGCTTAGGACAAATCTTGCAGCTCTATTCTGTATTTTTTTCATGTTTGTCACTTGAAGACATATGCCAAGGGATCTCACGCGGCACAATCGTATTCAGGCATAGGGTGAATGTATGCTGAATACACCGTTGATTGTAAACATGCCAGCGCCTGTCTCAAGCTTCACTGTATAAGGTATAGAAATTTGGCGGCCTTTACCATCACTGAATCAACACGAGCACTCGTTGAGTGGCTTTCCATGGTTCTTCATTTGTTCTCTACTTGCCAGCGGCGCACAGAAAAACCTGCTGTTCCTTTGCCACCGCAACACTCAGGCTTTTAGGACTGTTAAGTTCCTCCAGGACACTAAACAGCTGTCTTCAGAAGACTGTCGCCGCGTCCTCAGCCATAGATGCCACTCTTATTTTCTTATACCATCTTTAATTCTCTCTCCTCATTTCCCTGCAGACGTGCTTCCACTTAGGGCTGCAAAAATAGCGCCTTTTGCACTCCTCATGCTCTTCTTCCATTCGCTTGCAGCATGCCAGCTCTGTGGCGTATGGTGGCTAGCGAGTGTCATTTAACTGCGGTTAGCGGTTGCTTTGCGGAAGTTTCTAGAACTAGAGGACCTCGTTGAACCTCATGATGTTTGGAAATATTAATACCGACTTTTTTACACTAATAAAGGTTTCAAGCTGTGCTTGAAAACAAAGTTTGCGCTCAAATAGGCGCTTATTTGGAATATAGGCATTTATAGGCATTTAGGCACAAACACCAAAAATAGGCATTTATATTCACTATAAAAGACCTTCTTAACCTATAATTCATGCTCATGTATCAAAATGGCACGATACAAACGCAAGAAACAAAATAGGCATTTGCCTACAATCCAGTCTCTAGTCAAGACACAGGAGAATTGAAGTCCCTCACACAAAGGACCAATCGCAGCTTTGAGGTATAGGAAACGCAGCCTCTAGTAATTATTGTGGCATAATGAAATTCTACCAAATTCAACAGCGAAACCAAAGTGGAAGCACCAAAGAGCACAACAAGCAGGCAACCAGAATGACATCATTGTTTAAGGAAACTGCTACAAATGCGTCACTCTTCCACATTCACTAACATAAGTACACCATGCGTGCTATAATTGCTAGTGCAACCCACCCACCCACATAACAAAGTGGGTTGATGATTGACATAATGGCACTCTCTTATTGTGGACATCCCACAGTTGCATTCTTTTATTTTTTACTGCCAAATTTGGTTGAATTTCATTACTTCACAGTTTTCACTAAAGGCCACTTTTTCCAAAATCTGAAAATGGCAATGGGCTGATCACATGAATGACTTCAAATTTCTTACTTGATATAACCACCAAACTGTACAAATCACAATCTTAATTTAGCTTTCTTAATTACTACCCCAAACAATGTCTTTAGGGATCTTACCTGCCTGCAGCTACAGAAGTAATTGTGAAGACATCGAAAAAATATTGCGTTTCCCTATTTTCAAAAATTTTGAATACATTTTTTTGAAACATACAGTATATTCCAGCTCAGAAAAAGAGTCAATTCAATCAAATACATGCAACTGTGCTCTGCACAGCACCATTTTGCTTTTAATTCCAAAGAACTTGAAATCCCACATAGTGTGCACCAAACATGTGCAACATACAAAGCAAATAACAAGAGACATTCTCAGTTCCATGTATGTTGCATTAACACATTCAACTGGATAAGCTGTCTCATACCACCGTGGTAGAACAATTCAGAACACTGCAAATTCAGGCAAAGTTACACATGCGTACACACAATGCAAAGCAATGACAATATTGAACCACATGATATTTACAGAGTTACCAGGCACTTGCTCAGCAAATACATCGTCTTTTTCAATGTCAAAATTTAGAATAACTAACTACTTTTAATATGTGTATATTTTTTGTCATTTGACTTTTTGATTACTGCGACCCTCTGCGGCAGCGCGAAGAGCCTAGGTGTTCTGTGGAAGAGCGGAGTTATTACTGCCACCTCTAAAGCAAGAGGAAAACATTCTGCACACTAATTTGTCACCAACACAGCAGTAGAAGGCTCTGACAACCTCACAACATTCTTCTGCTGGTAACTTCCACAATTTACAGCTCACAGTAACAAATGCTGCGATTAACTGCATTTTTACAAATCAAGTAAAAAGGACAGTATCAGGCCGAGTATGAACGCATGTTCCCAACAGTAATTCCTCAAATAATTCAACAGGAGCCTTATGAATGAGGCGGGGGGGGGGGGGGTGATTTTGGGCTCGCAAACTCTCGACACACACTACCTCATGAAACCAACAATGAAGCTTCTATGTTTTGACTGCAGGATCCTTACCATATTCACTTAATTTCTTGTCATCTTGCAGCACTCGTCCACAGAAGATAAGACGCTGCTTGTCTGCAGTGATGTTCTGAAATAATGTTACATCAATTTAAAAGGACGCGAGTATGGAGTTCCGAAGTTTTAGAAAAACAAGTCACCTCTACTTACCACTGATGATGCTATTTTCTCTTTGAAGTTTTTGACGGTGATCTAAGGAAACAAACGTTTGAAGGAGTCTTTCAATCAAATTCATGCTATAAATGACAAGCAATGATTGTTTGCATGTCAATTCGTAAAGCCACGTGACTGATCAATACGTTAAGACGCACACTTCTGCAACGCTTAAAAGTGGCGACATGAATACAGCATGATATACTGCAAAGCGTAACATGTTAACGAAGTTTGTACCATGCCCAATGAACGAAACAAGCACTTACATCATCAGGTACAGAGTAATTTCGATTCTGGGAGTCCAGCGTTTTCACCGTGACTTCCAACATCTGAAAAAAAAAAGTTTTAGAAAATCAGAACAACCTGTACTCAAAGTAGTAGAGAACACAGTCACAATCTGATTGCTAAAACACTGAAAAAGCGAAATAAGTGTCGAATGATGCCTGAAACGCGAAAGTAAGGCCTGGCTGAGTAACAAAAAAAAAAAAAAAAACCACGCGTCCCTTCAAACGAAAAATCGTCTAGCTGACAATGACCACGAAAATAAAACGATATAGCGTCGGCGAGACATCGCCTAGAATAAGTGCAAAGAAAAGAAGACTAACTTAAGGACCTTTTCTTTTGTTCGCGTTCTCGGTACACGAACGCTAACATGAAAATAATTGCTAAGTGCGTTTGGCGGCAGCCCACCAGCTAAACAGGCGAATTCTACTCATGTAAGTTATACAGCGCTTGCAGATACAGTCAAAAGAAGAAAGTATACTTGCAATTTTATCGGCTGCCTGTGCCGAGTCCAGAGATGAACGGAGCGCAACTGAGACGCTGAGAACGAGCAGAACGAGCGCACAACCGTCGTCGTCGTCTGTGAGAGCAGTAATGACTCCGCCAACTCCGCTGAGTCCGCTCTTCCACAGAACACCGAGACTCTTCGCGCTTCCGCAGAGGGTCGCAGTAATCGAAAAGTCAAATGACAAATAATATACACATATTAAAAGCTGAAAACAAATTCTACTAATAAAAATCTTACAAAACAACACTTACAATTACGTTTTACAAGAGAATTCGACTTAAAATGCGTATTTGTTATGGAGATATTTGTGCACGAGATGGAAGACGGCGCCCTCTTACATGTGTGTTTCTAATTAGCGCGTTCGCCGTACACGAGTAGGCTCGTGCAAGTTGGTTTCTGAGACGTTCCAGCGTTTCGTGGCAGCGTTATTCTCGAATTGTGCAAAGGTTTGGACTCGTACCATGTCTGAAACGGACTGGGACACTGTCACCTACCTGCGAAAGAAGCCTATGAAGGCTAGTCAGCTGCGCTCTCAACAGGTTTGTCTCAAACGCGCCTCCGTTTCGGACTTCGGTTTAAGGCACGTTCGAGTGACGCGTAAAATGCCTTGCGCGTTCCTGTTCTCTTTCTACAGGTGATAAACGCAGCGCAAAGGCAGGGAGTCCCAATCGAGACTACGAAAAAATGTGAGTGGGACTTCGATGTTGTGATATTAGCCAGAATATTTCCGCGTATTTTTGTGAAATGGGAAGCACTAATGATGGGGGATCTCGCGCGTTCGATGTTAACGTATTAGGCATGGAATTAAGGGTGATGAGTAAACGTTTTGGTAAATTATGCAATCAATCCATTAGCATGAAATACTATTTCTCTTTTTTCTTTAATGTGGTACCTACCAGTATTGCTCGTGTTTTACATTATTTATTCTTTTGGTTGCTTCGCATGGTTCAGTCAATGCTGCAACGAATAAGAAGACAGTCACCACCCTAAATACTGCTAAGCTTGATCGAGAGACGGAGGAGTTGCATCATGACCGCATTGGCCTGGACGTGGGAAGACTCATTCAACAAGGCAGGCAGGCCAAGAACATGACACAGAAGGAACTGGCCACCGTAAGTCGGCACTGTGGCTATGTCCAACATGTTGCGCACCGTAAGCTATGCACAACCTGTTAATGCTAATCGACGCACTCGACAATGTGGTTAAAAATTGGCTAGATAAAAATACGGAAATTAGCGAAATTTCTTAAGTTTCAGGTGGTTGTGGTCGTGTCTGCATGCGCATGCTGATTTTTTTTTTCTTTACTGAGCAGAAACGCGCGGTACTTTTACTGCTATTGAAGGTTTAGCTGATATTGCGCTAGTTAATGCTCTATGCAGCTTTAAAGTGATTAAATTTAGCATTATACAAGCTATTACACAGAGCTAGTAAGCATGACATTCCTGTCTGCTCAGATTTGGGTGCACGTTAAAGAACCCCAGGCGGTCGAAATTTCCGGAGCCCTCCACTACGGTGTCTCTCGATCATATGGTGGTTTTGGGACGTTAAACCCCCTCATATCAAGCATCACATTGTCAACATAGTTGTATATTATACGAGCCGCAAAAAAAATGAAGTCCTTTGATCGTGTTATCATTTTACAATTTAGTCTCTCGACATATATTTTGTAATCATCATTTGTGGCACATAAATGAGTATAAAATTCGCATGCCGTATATGTGACCATGTTAAACGATGACTGAGCAGTATTCAGAGTTAAAGACGTAGTAATTCGCTAATGGTCCATATGGCAGAGCATATGGTCCATATGTGTGTCACGATGGCTTTAAGCAACATTTTCATGGTTTGTGCTTGCTATTTCAAGCTCGAAGTGTCTTGCTTTCAGAAAATCAATGAGAAGCCTCAAGTGATTAATGATTACGAAGCTGGTCGTGCCATACCAAACCAGCAGGTCCTGGCAAAAATTGAAAGAGTTATTGGTAAGTTGCCGACCAGTTTGCTAAATCTTTGTTTATATAGTTTATAGAGAAAATATATTGCAGTTGATTGTGTGGCTATGTTAAGGTCTATGCAAATGCTGCCATCAAATGAAATACTTTTATACGAATCTTTGTGACAAACATGCTGGATGCTTTTGTAGATAAGCTGAAATATAAGATATCAATATAAGTGATTGTTCTTTCTGTTGCGTTACTTAACACAAAACTTATATTAAGGTATAATATAAAGGAATATTTGTGAAAAAACAGATTTATTGAGCACTGCATAGAACGTTTCTAATGTGCGCTCTCAACATGAAAGAAAAAAAAAAGATAAATATGGTGGAATATACAAAATTTCTTCTCAAGACTTTTATTAGAAAAATATTAGGGGACAATTAGAATTATTTAGCTCAAAGAGCATATGAGATGCCATGCTTTTTTTTTTTTTTTTTGCAAGTGAAACCTGCACTACTCTATCAGGTTACACAGATATACTTTTTCCATTTGCAATGATATAACTAAGAAGCTTAAGTTTTCTATTTGGTCATGGGTATTCTAAGCAATTTATGCTAAATTAGTACCACAGGAAAAAAATTCACACACCAAAAAGTGACACTGAACATGACACCAATACTTCCTAAAGTATGCCTTCAAAGCACGCAATAAGACATTTTAATTTTAAGCTGTAAGCTTCCAAAAAGCCTTCACATTTTATTGTCAGTTCTAACAAAACTGGTGCAACCATTTCTGGTAAAACAAAGAATTTGCTAAAGTTGGTCTTCAAGGCTGGGCAAAACAGGTTATACATATAGGTAGCATTGTCTAGTAGTCAAGTTTCCTGTCCTGATAGCACTTTTTGTATCTCATCTTCATGAAGTGGTAGGACTTGTTCTGAATGTAGTTTTGAAACCTCGACAATGCCTAAACAGATCAGCAAGCAAGTGAAATTTGTCATCACTGTGGCCTTGATGATTTCTCAAGAACCATATTCCTTGGCATAAGGCTGTTTATACAGGACACTGGTTTTTCTTGTGACATATTGCTTCAATGCACAACACTTCTCTCGAGGTGATGGCCAGGTACTCTTTCTGGGCTGAACATTACTTCCTGCTGGCTGAAAATGTATTCACCATTTACTGTTGAGGCACTACGAATATTAGACATAATAGTGCTAGCATCCTAATGACATTTCAGCTAGCTTAAAAAATCTGTGCCAAAAAGCAAAATGTTTGATCAACACCTGATGATAGTGACTCGATCTATGGTTTTTAGTCATTCAAAATATATTTTCGTGATTTGGCAGCATCCTCAGAGTCACTTATTCTAGAAACAGCAGAAAAATCACTTGTGGACACAACAGAACCATTGAAATAACATTTCCAAGAGCGTATTGCTATTATGTTGTCAGCAGTTTGTGCAAACGAACCTAGTGAACTGCTTTTTTGAGTCGCTGTGAAAAGTCATTGCCGTTCGAGAAAAAAAAAAAAAACTCACAGGAAACGAAACAGAATATGTGTTGAAACAGTGTTTACAGAATGTGCTAAATGGCGCATGTTGTTGGTACGAGTGCCCATATTTTAAAATTCTTGCTTGATGCGTTCAGTTCACCAGTGACCCATATTCTCTGGGCACGGTGAGGAAAGAGCTAACCTCGCTGACAGGAATAGGCCTTACACGGTGGGGAATACGTTAACTATGCTGGAGGATGCGCAGGCGCTGTAATGCGAGATCACGTGAGGAAGGAGAGGTCTGAACACCCTTACCATTGAGAGGTGAGACAGTTTTAGGAAGCCCACAGGAAATAGGGCAGTGCCATGAAACCTGATATTAAAGAAAAAGAGCCGAGGAAGAAGCTGTGGCAAGTTTTGTTAGTAGTTCATTGAGTTGTGTGCTATCAAAGATCTTGGATTCTATGCTGTGTAAATAGTGTGGTCTTTTTCCATGTTCTCAGAAACTCTTCATCATGGCCTTAAAAGTTCTGAAAAACCCTTCATTTGTGAGATAGGCCATGTCACTCACTGATTGCCATAATAGTGATCTATATGGTCCTAGCCGGTACTACTGCAAAATTAATTAGAAAGCATTCTAAGTATATTTGTGTTTTATTGTTCTTGTATTCCAGGCATGAAGCTTCGAGGAAAGGAAAAAGGCATGCCACTGGGTGTCGAGAAGAAAAAGTAGCTCCAACAGCTTAAGCAGCAAGAAATCTTCTTCACATTCTTGCTGCAAGTGACCTAGCTGGATAGATTTTCAGGGGGCTTTTTACTTTCGCACAAGCATCGTCGTCTGTCGTTTTCTTCAGTGTTGTTAATAGGCTCCTAGAAGTTTGCGTGGGCCCAGTGTGATTTAACCTTTTTCATGGCAGCGCCAAGACCACTGAAAATACAGTCCAGCAGAGGAAATTATAGCTTTGCAATATCGCACATGCACTCTGTGTGTTTTTTGGCGACTTCAGCTTTGTTGGAAGCAGCATTTGTGTCTTCAGAGCTTGAAGAACTGTGTGTCTGTGTCTTCAAATAAAGTGTTTGTTTCACTATTTTTGTGCTATATTTGCGTTGAAAAGGCTCTTTTTGAAAAGGAATTCCAGTTTTAAAAAAAAGTCATCTCCCCATTTCTTAGGGCAGCTACCTACTTTTCAGTATCTGGCTCATTTAATTTTCTTTATTTTGGGGGAAGCATATAGTCATACCTGCCAACCCTCCATGATGTTTAAGAATGTTGCATCAACTGTTCTTTAAACTGCAGTCTGGCCACAAAAAAGTTCGTATTGCATTCAAAGAACGGTGACAAAAGGCGATTGTTAACCTGGTTAATTTGGAAGAGCCTCTGTGTGAAAACGGCATTCGCAGAAAACCTAAATGAGACGGCGCTGCCTGCATCGCTATCTTCATCAGTTAGTTACCATTATTTTGTCCTCATGCTGATCCGGCTCCCTGCAGCTTTGTTTTAACTTGATCAAATGTGCATAAACGGTCATGAAACTCTGAACATGGCGGAAGCTGTCGGCTGTGGTCGGTATGCTGGCATGTAACTGGACGAGCTATCACTTGCCTACCATTTTACCTGCGAAGGAACTATAGTCATGTGCAAGCGGTTGTGGTGGCAGTACATCATAAATGGACTCCTAAAGGCAAATAACAATT